AAGGGCGACCCGTTCATCAACGAATCCCACGTCGTGGCATTTGGTTGGGGCACCGCTGAGCAACTGGCGCGCATGAAGGAGTTGTCCCTCAAGGTCAACGACGTGCTGAGCAAACTGTTCGACGACGCAGGCCTGCTGCTGGTGGACTTCAAACTCGAATTCGGTGTGTTCCACGACGGTTCCATCGTCCTGGGCGACGAATTCAGCCCGGACGGCTGCCGCCTGTGGGACAAGGACACCAAGAAGAAGATGGACAAGGACCGCTTCCGCCAGGGCCTCGGTGACGTCATCGAAGCCTACGAAGAAGTCGCCAATCGTCTCGGCGTACCGCTTTAATCGACGCAAGCATCTGATAGCACGGAAAAAAATCGCTTCGGCGCTTTGCATCCACGAATCATGCTGTTATGATGCGCGCCGTTGGAGAGATGCCAGAGTGGCCGAATGGGACGGATTCGAAATCCGTTGTACCTTCACCGGTACCTAGGGTTCGAATCCCTATCTCTCCGCCATATCAGTACAAAAAGGCCCCGTTTTTACGGGGCCTTTTTGCATTCTGCGGTTTCTGTTCCTTCATTGATCCCCTCCTGAATTCCCCCGTGATCTAGTCCCCTAAGCGCCTTTCGCTTGGTTGCTGGTTTTTCATCTTTAAACCAGACGAACGCGCTGGGTTTTTTACACGTCCTGCCAACCCTGCTAACCAACCGAGTGACCTTCCCACGGTATCGCCGCGTGCGGTACTCGCGCTTTCCCTCGCCCGCGCATCCGTTCAATGTGCGCGCATTCAAAAAAATAGGTTGAATAGTCACATCAAATGTTATTTAAATAACAAAAATAATTACGCTGTGGTGCCTGCCACCCCGTGCACAAGGTAAAAATATCCATGAATAAGATCGCGGTCATCGGTAGCAATATGGTGGATTTGGTTACCTATATCGACCGAATGCCCCGCCAGGGCGAGACCCTTGAAGCCCCGGGCTTTGCCATGGGGTGTGGCGGTAAGGGGGCGAACCAGGCGGTGGCGGCGGCCAAGCTTGGCAGCGAGGTGTTGATGCTGACCAAGTTGGGCGATGACATGTTTGCCGATAACACGTTGGCCAATTTTCAGCGCCATGCCATCGACTCGCGTTACGTCACGCGGGTGCCAGGGGTGTCCAGCGGCGTGGCGCCGATCTTTGTGCAGAGCGATTCCCACAACAGCATTCTGATCGTCAAAGGCGCCAACGCGCATTTGAAACCGGCCGATATCGACGCCGCAGAAGCGGCTTTGCGCGAATGCGCACTCATCGTCTTGCAGCTGGAAATCGACTTGGCGACCGTCTACTACGCCATTGAATTTGCCAAGCGCCACGTTATTCCTGTGTTGCTCAACCCGGCCCCTGCGGTCGCAGGTTTGAGCCGCGAGCATCTGGCGCAGCTGGACTTTTTCATCCCCAACGAAAGCGAGCTCTCGCTGATCACCGGCAAGCCGGTCGAGGGCCCTGAGAGTGCGTTGCTGGCCGCGCGGGAATTGGTCGTCCAGGGCATCCGCCATGTCATCGTCACCCTTGGTGAACAGGGCGCGCTGTATGTCGGCGAGGAGGGTGAGTTTCATGTGCCAGGCCGCAAGGTCGAGGCCCGGGATACCACCGGCGCGGGTGACGCCTTTATCGGTTGCTTTGCCCACTACTGGACCCAGCAGGGCGATATGCGTGCGGCCATGACTCGGGCTGTGGCGTATTCCGCCTGTTCGGTCACCGGCCTCGGTACCCAGAGTTCCTACCCGGATGCTGCCCGATTCGCGGAGTTTTTCGACCCGCGCTGATTCGTCTATCACCGATGTTGGCGATCCCAGCATGGCTGGTGCGCCCTATATCCCACGGAGAATAACAATGACAAAAGTCCCGCTCCAACAGACCGCCGATGGTTTCTACCTCAACCGCACGCCTTGGTTCGCGTTTTTGCTGCTGTGCAGTATTTTTGCCCTGTGGGCGGCGGCGGCCAGCATGAATGACGTGCTGATCGCGCACTTCAAGAAAGCCTTTTTGCTCAGCGATTTTCAGACCGCCTTTGTGCAGTCGGCGTTTTACCTGGGCTACTTTTTCGTGGCGATTCCGGCGGCCATGGTGGTGCGTCGCTTCGGCTACAAAAGCACGATCCTGGTGGGCTTGATGCTTTACATGGCGGGCTGCGCGCTGTTCTTTCCTGCGGCCTCCACTGCCACCTACGGCATGTTCCTGATGGCGCTGTTTGTGATCGCGTGTGGGCTGTCGTTTCTCGAAACCGCCTGCAACACCTATTCGACGTTGATGGGACCACGGGAAACCGGCACCCGCCGTCTGAACATCTCGCAGACCTTCCACCCGTTCGGCGCCATGGCGGGTGTGTATGTCGGTAGCTTTGTGATGTTCAAGGACACCGACGCCACCCACGAACAGTTGACCCAAATGAGCGCCTCCGAGGCGGCCATCCAGCAGTTGGAAATGATTCAGTCGACCCTGCTGCCCTACAAATGGATGATCGCGGTGCTGGTGCTGATGTTTATCCTGATCGCCATTACCCGCTTCCCCGCATGCCGGGGCAACGCCAAGGCCGACGTGAAAAAGCCCAGCCTCGGCCAGAGCCTGGCGCGCTTGTCGCGCAACCCGCGCTTTACCTTCGGCGTGCTGGCGCAGTTTCTGTATGTGGGGGCTCAGGTCGGGGTATGGAGCTTCACCATTCGCCTGGCGATGCAGATGGGCGGGATGAACGAGCGCAGCGCGTCATGGTTCCTGCTGACGACCTTTGCCGCCTATTTCGTCGGCAAGATGATCGCCAACCTATTGATGCGCAAGCTGCACCCGGCCAAGGTCCTGGCGATCTACGGCGTGCTGACCATTGCCTTGCTTGCCTATACCATCCTGGTGCCGAATATCAGCGCAGTGTACGCGGCGGTCGCGGTGAGCATTTTCCTCGGGCCGTGCTGGCCGACCATTTATGGCCTGACGATTGAAGGGCTGGGTGAAGACACCAGCGTCGGTGGTTCGCTGTTGGTGATGAGCATCGTCGGCGGCGGGGTGATCCCGGTGTTCCAAGGCCTGCTGTCAGATGCCACCCACGGCAATATGCAACTGGCCTACAGCGTGCCCCTGCTGTGTTTCGTGGTGATTGTGGCCTACGCCTATTCCTGCATGCGCCACAGTCGCGCCGCACAGCCTAGGGCTGGCGCGGTGGTGGCCTCATGAAAACCTTCACCCTGGCCTTGTCTCCCGAGCAATTCAGCGGGGCAGAAAAAACCCTGCTGCAATCGGCTGATTTTCGCGTGCTGGCCTGGACCTACCCCAGTGGGGTCAAGGCCCTGGCGTTGGAAAATGCCCGTGGTCGCGTGGTGGCCTTGCCTTATCAGGGGCAGATGATTTGGTCCGCGACCTTCGACGGCTGCGAGTTGACCATGCGCAATATGTTCCGCCAGCCAAAGCCCAGCGCAACGGTAATTGGCACCTACGGATGCTTTATGTTTCACGCCGGGCTGTTGCGCAATGGCTGCCCGACCCCAAGCGACGACCACCCGCTGCACGGCGAAATGCCCTGCGCACCAATGGACGCAGCCTGGCTGGAAGTGGGCGAAGACGCTGCGGGCCTGTACCTGCGCCTGGGTGGCGATTACGAGTATGTGCAGGGGTTCGGCGACCACTATCGGGCCACACCCACGCTGACCCTGCGGGCCGGCTCGGGGGTATTTGATATCGGCATGGCGGTCACTAATCTCGCGGGTAAGGCCATGGAACTGATGTACATGGCCCACATGAACTACGCCTACATTCCTGGCGCGCGCTTTGTCGAGCCCCTGGCCGGCGCCCGGGTGCGCGTACGCAGCAGCGTGCCGGCCCACGTCAAGCCAACCCCCGAGTGGGCGGCCTACATGGCTGAGCTGAGCCGCGACCCTTCACGGCTGAGCAGCCTGGACAGCCCCGCGCTGCATGATCCGGAAATCGTCTGCTTCTTCGAAGAGGTTCCAGCCGATACCGCAGGCAATGCGCATTTTCTGCTGGACCATCCCGAAGGGTCGGCGTTCTACACCCACTACCGGCCCGATCAGTTCTCCCATGCCACCCGCTGGGTCCTGCATAACGCTGACCAGGGCGTCGCCGCCTTTGTCTTGCCTTCTACCTGCGAACCCGAGGGCTACCTGGCAGAAAAAACCAAAGGCAATGTGCGTTCATTGGCCGGCGGACAACAGGCATTGTTCAGCGTGAGTACCGGCTATCTGTCGGCTGAAGAAAGGCGCCGCCTGCGGGATGAGCTAGGCGGCTGATGAGGTGCGGCAAGGGTGGTCACACCACCCATTGCGCGCCATATTGGGTGATCAGTTCACGGTACGCTTTGGGCAGCTTCTTGTCGGAGACCACCACATTGAACTGTTCGAGGCTGGCGAAATGCGCGGTGCGCACAACGTCGAACTTGCTGTGATCGGCCAGCAACAGGCTGTGCTGGGCCTGGCGCAAAACCTTCTGTTTGACCGCCACTTCATTGAAGTTGAAGCAGGTGACACCGAAGGTCTCGCTGATACCTGCGGCCGAAATGAAGGCCCAGGTCAAACGCACGCTGTCGAGGATGCTGCTCTCGTCGGCATGGTCGAACACTTGGTTCTTGCGATGAAAGGTGCCGCCACACAGAACGATAGTGCAGTTGGGCTTCTGTTGCAGCTTGAGCAGCACGTTCAGCGAATTGCAGACCGCCGTGAACTCCAGCTCATCGGGAATGAAATCAATCACAAAAGGCACCGTGGTGCCGCAGTCGAAGAACACCGTGTCGCCACTTTTGACAAACGCGGCCGCGAGCTTGCCTATACGGCGTTTCTCCTCCACATGCCGAGTGCCTTGCTCCGTAACCTTGTAGTCAGGCGCCTCGGACGGGTCGAAGGCAAGGGTGATATGCCCGCCGAGCAGGTGGAACTTGTCCGGGTGACGGTTCAAGTCCCGGCGCAGGGTCATTTCCGAGACTTCCAGCAATGCGGCCATTTCCCGCAGGTGGATCGCCTTTTGGTCCTGCAGGGCTTGTTGGATCAGTTTGATGCGTTCTGATTGTTTGCTTTCCACAGGCGTTCCGGTCGGCTGGTTATGTTGTAATTACATCATTTTTTGGTATTATAGTCACATCTTTTGGGCGTGCTTTCTCACAGTTGCGCCCATCGTGCTCCTTCACCAGGAACGGATTTCATGACCTCAATCACACCCGCAGCACTTGCACAGTTTATCGACCACACGTTGCTGGCGCCCGACGCAACGCGGCAACAGATCGCAGCGTTATGCAAAGAAGCGCAGGAATACGGGTTCTATTCCGTCTGCGTGAACTCGGGCCAGGTGCCTTATGCCGCCCAATTGCTCAGTGGGCAAAAGGTCAAGGTCTGCGCGGTGGTCGGGTTCCCGCTGGGCGCCGGGCTGAGCGAGAGTAAAGCCTTCGAAGCCCAACAGGCAATTGCCGTGGGTGCGGGCGAGATCGACATGGTGCTCAATATTGGCGCGTTGCGCGAGGGCCTGTTGGACACGGTGCGTGACGACATCGCCAGGGTGCATCAAGCCTGCGGTTCGGTGCCGCTGAAAGTGATCCTCGAAACCTGCCTGTTGGACGAGGAACAAAAGATCCGCGCCTGCGAAATCTGCCGTGAACTGGGGGTGGCCTTCGTCAAGACCTCGACCGGCTTTAGCCATCATGGCGCCACTGCTGGAGATATCGCCCTGATGCGCCGTATCGTCGGCCCGCAGATGGGGGTCAAGGCGTCGGGCGGGGTGCGCGATTACGCGACCGCAGTGGCCATGATCGAAGCCGGTGCCACCCGCCTGGGCACCAGCTCGGGGGTGAGCATTGTCAGTGGCAAGCCTGCGGAAGCGGCGGGTTACTGATTTCGCCAGCGCACACGACGTCTGGCAATGTTTGAAAAAAGGAGCTTCGGCTCCTTTTTCGGCGGCATAGTTCACGCCGATTTCGGTGCTGTAGTCCAGTGCCTGAGCCAGGTCCAGTCCCGCACGGCCAAGTTGGGGTTAAACCTGATTCTGTGCTCGGGTGCAATTCCCCGGTTGATAACCCAGGCAAATGATGCGCTGCCCTGAAACTGAAAAAGCCTGCTGGGCGCAATGCTCAGCAGGCTTTTTAGTAAGTGCAATTGGATCAGGCAGGCTGAGCCACCAAGCTGTTACTCACCTTACGCCCCAGCACCAGCACTGTCACAAACCCGGCGCCCACCAACGCCGTGGCCAAGCTCAGCAGCACCGCGCTACCCATCTGATCGACGATGCGCCCGCCAAAGAACGAACCCAAGGCAATGATCACCTGGAACAGGGCAACGAACAGCGGCATGCCGCGCTCCACATCCTTGGGCGCTACCACGAACATCCAGATACTGGCGCAGGCCGGGAACGCGCCGAAGGCGAAGCCCCATAGGCCGATCAGCATCGCTGCGCCGGTCATGCCGGTGGCGAAGTAGGGGAACAGCGCGGTGCTGGTGCCGATCATCAGCGCGACCAGCAACAGGGTGTGGCGTACGCTGCGGTTGGCGGCGAAACCGGCAAAGATATTACCGAACACCCCGGCCACGCCAAAGAGCAGCAACAGTGAGCCAATCGTCGGGCCATCAAAGCCGGAGCTGTATTTGAAGAACGGCGCGACATAGGTGTACGCGGCAAAATGCGCCAGGCCGATCAGCAGCACGGCGATCAAACCGACGCGCGCTTGCGGGTTGATAAACAAGGCGGGCAGGTCGCTGACGCGGATCGCCTTTTCCGGATCAAGGCGGGGGAGCAGGAAGATCTGCGCCAGCAGCACCGGTACGCCCACCAGCGCGGTGACCAGGAACGTCATGCGCCAGCCCATCAGGCCACTCAGCCAGGTGCCGACGGGCACGCCCAGTACGGTGGCCAGGGTCACTCCCATCATGATGATCGAGGTGGCCTTGGCTACGTCGACGCCCTTGGGGGCCAGGCGGCCGCTGAGGGCGATGGCCGTCGCCCAGAAACCACCGATGCTGATGCCCAGCAGTACGCGGCCAAACAGCAGCAGGCTGAAGTCGCTGGCGAAGGCCACGACCGAGTTGGCGATGATCATGATCAGCGTCAGGCCGATCAGCAGGTAGCGACGGTCCATGGCGCCAATGCTGACGGACAGCAGGGGAGCGGCGAGGGCGGCCATGATGCCAGGCAGGGTCACCATCAGGCCGGCGTGGCCAGCGCTGATGCCCAGGTCGCTGGCGACGTCATTGAGTACGCCCACAGGGAGAAACTCACTGGTCACCAGGGCGAAAGCACCCACGGCAACCGAGAGGATCGCCAACCACTGCTGTTTGACACTCTGTTGATTATGTTCGGGAAGGCCGCTAGGGGCCTGGCTGGCACTTGGCATGGTGTTGGGTTCCAGGATGAACGTCGCCCGAAGCCAGGCGAAGGGAAGGGAATTTGGAGCCGATTATAGGAACCGGTACTGAAAATCGGGCAGGCGCTCGGTTCGATAGTAATCATCAGTGCAATCGATGCAACGCTCTAGACCGCACTACGTGACCCCGTGATCTTTCACACGAACTGCGCAAGCATTGCCTACAGGCCGTGCATTGCTGGTCCACCGGCAACTTATTACTGTGTGGTAGTGCTCAAGATCGGGCGCCTCCCACCGCAAAGGAATTGCGTCATGAGCAAGAATACGAAGAAAACCTCCGGCAAGGTCGCGACGTTGGCGGCGGAAACCCTCAACAGCTCAGCGTCTTCTGCCATCGCTAAAAGCCTCGCTGCTTCAGCGTTGGCGCAGAAAGGCACTGACAAGCAGACAAGCGCCGAGATGGAGGAAAAAGCAGGCAAGGTGCTGGGCAGTGATAAATACAGCGAAGACACCAAAGCGCTGGCCGGGTCGGTCCTTTCCCAAGCCAATAAAGAGCGAGGACACTGAGTTAAAGCGCTGCCAATCAATAGAAAAGCCTTGTGGCGAATCAAGCTACAGGGCTTTTCAGGGTAGAGAAAACCTTACTCGGCTAACCGTCCTCTGAGGCTGTCGATAAACATGCTTTCCGCCCGACTCATCTTCTGTTCCCGATTCCACAGCAGATGAATATCCACGTCCGCAATCCCCTCATCTGGCGGCAGGCGCCACAGCAGGCCGTTCTTCACGTCTTCGGCCACCACATGGATCGGCAAACAGCCCAGGCCAAATCCGGCAATCACCAGGCGCCGCACTTCCTCCAGGCTTGAAGATGATGCAACGATCCGCCCACTGAACCCTTGTTGATCGCGGAAAATCGTCAAGGGCGACAGCATCCCGCCAATCTGGTCGCTGGTGAAACTCACGAAGTTCTCCGATTGCAAATCCCCCTCCGCCAAGCCGGTGCGTCCGAACAATGGATGGTGCCGCCCGCAAAAAAACGCGTAGCGCTGCCGCAAAAACAGGTGCTGCTCCAGGCGTGGCTGTGGTCGGCGGTTGAGGCTTAAACCCAGGGTCGCGGTTTTTTCCAGGAGGGCGGCGACGATGTCCGAGCTGCGCATCACCTCAACCTCCAGGTCTACCCGTGGATGCTCGCGGTGAAAGCCTGCCAGGAAGTCATCGAAGGTGTCCGAGTTGATCCGGCTGATCATCAGCAAACGCACCTTGCCGATCACTTCGTCACCGGGTTTTTGCAGGGCATTGCTCATCTGCGACACCTGGCCGTACATCTCGCCGGCAATCGCAAAGATCTGCTCGCCGGCTTCAGTGAGTACAAAGCGTGGACCACGGCGGACGATGAGCTGGCAGTCGAGTTGTTCTTCCAGGCGCTTGAGGGCTTGGCTGATCGCTGGCTGGGTCAGATGCAGGCGGGCGGCCGCGCGGCTGATGCTCAGTTCCTGGCCGATCACGCGAAAGGTACGCAGCAGGTTCCAGTCCAGGCGGTCGTTGAGCAACGGGTGAATATCGCGACGGGTTTCGGACATGGCGCAGTTCAATAATAAGCAGGATTTATAATTTGAATAATAAATAGAAAATTGACTAATCATAGCCCCGAGACGATAAATCACCCTCAACAAGCGCCATCAGAGCGCATGCGTTCGACCTTTCTCCTGCCAAAAAAATAACCAAAGGAGCCAGCCCCATGAAGCCTTCCGCTTCGCCCCAGCCTCGCCGTGCTGCGGCCGCCGCTTTTATCGGCACGATGATCGAGTGGTACGACTTTTACATCTATGCCACCGCCGCCGCGCTGGTGTTCGGCCAACTGTTTTTCCCCTCCGAAGACAAACTGTTCAGCACCATGGCCGCGTTCGGCACCTTTGCCGTGGGTTTCTTCGCCCGGCCGTTGGGCGGCATTGTGTTCGGGCACATCGGTGACCGGATCGGCCGCAAGAAGTCCTTGGTGATTACCCTGGTGATGATGGGGGTGGTCACTGTCTGCATTGGTCTGCTACCGACCTACGCACAGATCGGTGCCGCCGCACCGGTGCTGCTGATCCTGCTGCGCGTGGTGCAGGGCATTGCCGTCGGCGGCGAGTGGGGTGGCGCGGTGTTGATGGCCGGTGAGCATGCACCGAAAGGTCGGCGTAACTTCTTTGCCTCCTTCGCGCAGTTGGGCAGCCCGGCGGGGTTGATCCTGTCGCTGTTGGCATTCAGCGCAGTCACCCGCTTGCCGGAAGACGCGTTGCTGAGTTGGGGCTGGCGCTTGCCGTTCCTTGCCAGCGCCTTGCTGCTTGTAGTGGGGCTGGCGATTCGCCTGGGCGTGAATGAGTCGCCTGAGTTTCTCGAAGACAAAGCCTTGGCGGAAAAAGCGCGGGCGATCAAGCAAGACCAGGCCCCAGTGATCGAAGTGCTGAAAACCGCCTGGCGTCCGTTGCTGCTGTGCATCGGTGCCAACACCCTGGGCATTGCCGGTGTGTATTTCACCAACACCTTCATGATTGCCTACAGCACTCAGCAACTGGGCTTGCCGCGCTCGTTGATTCTGGAATGTCTGTTCTTCGTTGCCATCATTCAGTTCTGCGTCCAGCCCCTGGCCGCCTGGGTGGCGGAGAAGGTCGGTGCCACGCGCTTCCTGTGCGCGATGACGGTATTGGCCATGGCGTCGCCTTACCCGATGTTCGTGTTGGTCAGCAGTGGCCAGGCGCCCTTGATCATCCTCGGCATTGCCCTCGCGGTGGTGTGCATGGCGTCGTTTTACGCGGTGATTGCCGGCTTTGTCAGCGGCCTGTTTGAAACCCGTGTGCGTTATACCGCGATCTCCCTGGCGTACCAGGTATGCGGCGCGTTGGCCGGTGGCCTCACGCCGTTGATCGGCACCTGGCTGGCCCATGAATACCAAGGCCAATGGTGGCCGATGGCAGTGTTTTACAGCCTGATCGCGGCGGTCTCGCTGGTGTGCGTACTGGCGTTGTCGCGCCGTCACGCCACCGCTCACCGTCTTGAGATGGCCCATAGCGTTTGATGGAGAGTCTGCAATGTTGAAGATCAACGGCGAGCGCCTGTGGGCCAGCCTGATGGCCATGGCCGAGATCGGCGCTACGGCACGCGGTGGCAGTTGCCGCCTGGCCTTGAGTGCCGAAGACAAAGCCGGTCGTGAACTGTTCAGCCACTGGTGCACAACCGCCGGGTTGACCCTGAGCGTCGACGCCATCGGCAATCTGTTTGCCCGGCGTGCCGGAACGGATAAAGACGCGGCGCCGGTGATGATCGGCAGCCACCTCGACACGCAGCCCGAGGGTGGGCGCTTCGATGGTGTCTACGGTGTGCTGGCTGGCCTGGAGGTGATCCGCAGCCTCGACGACCAAGGGATCCAGACCCGCAAACCCCTGGAAATTGCCGTGTGGACCAACGAAGAGGGCGCCCGTTTCACCCCGGCCATGCTGGGCTCCGCGGTGTTCACCGGCACCCTGGCGCTGGACAAGGCCCTGGCCACTGTCGATGCCGCTGGCGTCAGTGTGGCCGAGGCATTGCGCGTGACGGGCTACAACGGTTCACGCCCATTGGGGGGGGCGGTGGATGCGTATTTCGAAGCGCACATCGAGCAAGGACCGATCCTTGAAGACAATGCCAAGAGCATCGGCGTGGTCACCGGTGGCCAGGCGATTCGCTGGCTGGATGTACGCGTCGAAGGCATGGCGGCCCACGCCGGCACAACGCCGATGCCGCTGCGTAAAGATGCGTTGTATGGCGCCGCGCAAATGATCCAGGCGCTGGAAACGCTGGCAGCGGACTTTGCCCCGGAAGGCCTGACCACCGTCGGCGAATTGAGCATCGCCAAATCGTCGCGCAACACCATTCCAGGGTTGCTGAGTTTCACCGTCGACCTGCGTCATCATCGCGACAGTGAGATCGACGCCATGGAGCGCCAGGTGCGCCAACAGGTGCAGGCCATCGCCGAGCAACGCGGCCTGACCGTGACGGTGACCCCGCACTGGATCAGCCCGGCGACGCCCTTCGACGCCGAGTGCGTCGCCTGCGTGCAAACCTCGGTGGACGCCCTGGGTTATAGCCAGCAGCGCATCGTCAGTGGCGCCGGCCATGATGCCATCCACCTGGCGCGTTACTGCCCGACCGCGATGATCTTCATCCCGTGCGTCGGCGGCCTTAGTCACAATGAAGCCGAAGATGTACTGCCCGAGGATGTGCGCCAGGGCACCGACGTATTGCTCAACGCCGTATTGAAACGCGCCGGCCAGGCTCAGTAAGGAGACTTTTTGATGCGAACGTTTTTCCACCCCGAACAACTCCTGCACCATCCGCGCAGCTACTACTCCCGTGGCCAGATGCGCACGCCACAGGAAGTCCCCGAGCGCGCCCGCAACCTGCTGCTGGCCGCGCAAACCCTGGGCTTCGATATCCAGCAACCCCAGGACCATGGTCTCGATCCACTGCTGGCCGTGCATGGCGCGCCTTACCTGGCTTTCCTCCAGGAGGCCCACCAACGCTGGAAGGAAGTCCCCGAAGACTGGGGCGACGAAGTCATGTCCAACATCTTCGTGCGCGAGCCCAACGCCCTGCGCGGCATCCTCGCCCAGGCCGCGCGGTACCTGGCGGACGGCAGTTGCCCCATTGGAGAACTCACCTGGCGCTCGGCCTACTGGTCAGCCCAGAGCGCCGTTTCGGCTGCCAAGGACATCCTCGAGGGTGCCCCGGCCGCTTATGCGCTGTGTCGTCCACCCGGCCATCACGCCCGCTTCGATGCAGCGGGAGGTTTCTGCTACATCAACAACGCAGCGGTGGCTGCCCAGGCCTTGCGCGAAGGCTTTCAGCGCGTCGCCGTGCTCGACACCGACATGCACCACGGCCAGGGCATCCAGGAAATTTTCTATGACCGCGATGATGTGCTGTACGTGTCGATCCACGGTGACCCCACCAACTTCTACCCGGGTGTCGCTGGCTTTGCCGAAGAACGCGGCAGCGCGGCGGGTGAAGGCTTCAACCTCAACCTGCCCATGCCCCACGGTGCCAGCGAGGCGGTATTCTTCGAAAAACTGCAACTGGCCCTGGCGGCGGTGAAGGACTTCTCGGCGGACGTACTGGTGCTGTCGCTGGGGTTTGATATCTACGAACTGGACCCACAGAGCAAAGTCGCGGTCACCCGCGAAGGGTTTGCGCGGTTGGGCGAAAGCATTCGCGGGCTGGGACTGCCCTGTGTGGTCGTGCAGGAGGGCGGGTATCACCTGGAGACGCTGGACAGTAATGCGCGGGCGTTTTTCAGTGGGCCGCAGGCCTGGGTGTAGCCAGAAACGCAAAAGCCTGCCGAACTCAGCGTTCTGCAGGCTTTGGTGGGTGAGGTGACAGAATCAGCTGGCTTGCTGTTCAGGCAGGCTTCACCGGTCTGATCAGACTCTGGGCCGGGATTCCAAACATCTCATGCAGTTTCCAGATCATGGGCAGGGTCAGTGCTCGTTTTCCGTTCAGCACTTCATAAACTCGATTCTGACGGCCTATGGCGGGGACCAGGTCGGAGGCTGAAAGGCCTGACTGTTCCATCCGGAAACGGATAGCGTCGACTGGGTTGGGCAGGTCAACCGGAAAATGCTTCGCCTCGTACGCCTCGATCAACGTGATCATTACATCAAAATAATCACCTTCCGGCGTGCCGGGCTCAGGTTCATTGTCAAATAGCGCTGAGACAGATTTAAGCGCGTCCTTGTAGTCCTGTTCTGTGTGAATAGGTCGAATGTTCATGGGTGACTCCGTTTCAACGGTATCAGCGTCAATCATGTCGTATTGCTCATGCGTGCCGATGAATTTGATATACAGCGCGCCGTAGCGGTAGGCCACGGCGGCGACGAGCCGGTAGTCATGACCCTTGATATTGAAGACGACTCTTCGACTCTTGAGAACGCTGGCCTGGCGAAATTGTTCTTTGATGGCTGCTGGTGTTGACCAGTTGGCGTTCTTTGCCTCGTCAATCCAAGCCAGCAGTGGCTGTTCCGCGTCCGGGTATTTTTGCCAGAACGCTTTGAGTTGGCTGATCGCAATAATTCTCATGGGTCGATCCTAGTCCCGTGGTGGGACTTATGCAAGCGGGTGGTATCGATAGTTTCCAACTGCGGCGGTGCTATGAACGAAATTTTCCGCATAGGAAATTCCCTTCGTAGCCATGTACGAGGGGGCCCAGGAACATGAGAGGACCACAGGCGTAAAGTGGGGAGGGGGAGGGGCGTGTGCGACAGACAGGGAGCTTCAGGGGTATAGGTATTCCGATCCAAAGGGTCATGCCGCACCAGGTTCTTGCGGGTGGGTTTTGATGGTTTGCGACGTAATGGTTGTTGCCTGGAACTGATAACTGCGCGCCGAGGCAACCGGTCAGGCAAGAAATTGATAGCGCAGCTAGTATGGCTTTTTCCATGTATGACCTCTTTGAAAGCAATGCTTCGAGGCTCTCAGTATTGTCGTCAGGAAAAGTTATGCCCGCCGATGGCCTAACTAACTGACTGATTTTTATGACTTCTCGTTTCCCGCTCCGTACAAGGCACTGGCGCGGTTCAAGTTGGCGTGTGCTTCACGGTGATGCCGTGTGTTTATCGGGTACCAGTTCCAACACTCGGTTTCTCCCGCCTTCGGCCAGCAAGTAAGTCCCCTGGCCCGTCGGCACGATCGACTGTGGTGCTTTCAGGAATGACAGAATCGTCCGCTGGCGCCCTTGCTTATCAATCAGCAACAACCGCGCCCGATGGGTGGCGTCTTCATTGACCCACAGCCCGCGCTCATCGCACATCAAAAAGCTCGGCTGGTTGAGGTGGCTCAGCACCACCGGGTCGCTGCCGTCTGCGCTGAGTTCACGCACGACACCTTTCTTCTTCTCGTTGTAGAGCATCCGCCCGTCAGTACAGCGAACGATGGATTCGCCTTCCTCTACCTGGTCACGCAGCACGCTCAAGGTCTGGTCGCTCCAGCGATAGCGCAGCAATCGCCCGAAGGGCTTGCGGTCTTCTATGGCATACAAGTAGTCGCCGTCATCCCACAGGCCCTGCACACTCTCACCTTGGAAGAGTTCGGTGACGACGCCGTCCTTGACGAAGCTCACGGGCAGGGCGGCGGACTCCTGGCTGAAGACCCAGCCGCCACGGGTGGCAAACAGACCGTCGGGCTTGGACAGGTTGGCCACCACCACGTCGCGGGTGCCGTCCGGGTGGATGCGCACGATGCTGCCCTTGGCCTTGTCGAGTTCCTGGCTGACCACCAGCGAGCCGTCCGCCATGGGCAGCAGCGCGGCGGCTTTCTGGACGTCGCGGTGCACCACCTGCACCGTCCAACCGTCGGCGGCACTGACGGGGTAGTAACTTTGCCAGGTAAAAAAGCCCAGGGTCGCGATGCATAGCAGGCCTGCTGCGCGCAGGCCAAATCGCAGTGCCGGGTATTTTTTGGAAGAGAGGGTCATCGATGATTGCCAGTAGCCGGGAAAAAACGCCGACCACCCTACCAAGCTTGTCGAAGAACTTCACGTGTGGGAAACCCGCTGTCCCCTTTATCAGTGCCTAGTCCTGGGGCTCCAGACCTTGCCTGAGTTTTTCCAGCAACTCATCGATGTGAAACGGCTTGGTGATCAAGTCCATGCTCTCACCCAGGAAGTTCTGTCGGTTCGCTGCGTTCTCGGCGTAGCCGGTCATGAACAAAATGGGCAGGTTGGGGCGCAGGGCGCGTGCATGGTCGGCCAGCTCGCGGCCGGTCATGTATGGCAGGCCGACATCGGTGAGCAGCAGGTTGATGCTCGGGTCGGCCTGCAGCACGGCCTGTGCTTCGTCACCGTCCGCTGCCAGGCTGCAGCGGTAACCTGCGTCGACCAGCACCTCGGCCACGAAGCTGCGCACGGAGGGCATGTCTTCGACGATCAGAATGTGTTCACCCTTGCTGTTACCCGGCACTGCCAATGTCTTGGTGGTCGAGGCGGCGGGGCCATCGGCGGCGGGGAGCATGATGGTCACCTCGGTGCCCTGGCGGGTGACGCTGCGGATCTGCGCATCACCACCGGACTGGCGGGCAAACCCGTAGATGGTCGACAGGCCCAGGCCGGTGCCCTGGCCCACCGGCTTGGTGGTGAAGAACGGGTCGAACACCTTGTCGATCACGCTGTGCTCGATGCCCACGCCGTTATCCCTGACCGACAGGGCGATGTAGGGGCCGTTTTCCAGCTTGAGGTTGCCATTGGAAAACGCCTGGTAGGTCGTGACCCACACAATGCCACCCTGGGGCAGGGCGTCCCGCGCGTTGATCACCAGGTTCAGCACCGCGCTTTCCAGTTGGATCGGGTCCACCATCGCCACGGCGGGGTTGTTGGTCAGCTCCAGTTTCAAGGCGATGTGTTCGCCGATGGTGCGCACCAGCAACTCTTCCAGGGAGCGAATATGCGCATTGATATCGATCGGCCGGGTGTCCAGCGGCTGCTGGCGGGCGAAAGCGAGCAAACGGTTGGTGAGGCCGGCGGCACTCAGGGCTGAACTGAGTGCTGCATCGGCGTAACCCAGGACCTTGTCGGTACGGTTGCTTACGATGCGCTTCTTGATCAGTTCCAGGCTGGTGATGATCCCGGTCAGCAGGTTGTTGAAGTCATGGGCGATACCGCCGGTCAGTTTGCCCAGGGCATCCATTTTCTGGGCCTGGAGCAGTTGCGCTTCGGTACGTGCCAACTGGCTGGCGGCATTGGCCAGCTCGGCCTGCTGGTGGCGCTCGCGGTGGCGATGTTCGGTGACATCTTCGACAAACACCAGGCTCAGTTCGGCACGGCGATAGGGTGAAATCTGCCACTCGGTCTCACGCAGTTCGCCGTCGACTTTCATCTGCAGCGTGCCCTTCCAGCGTTCACCGGCTGTCAGGCGCAGGCACAGTTCGTGGATGACCGCGTGCTGGCCGTCTGCGAAGCATTCGAGCAGGGCATCCGGGTTGAGGTTGTCGTGGATCAGTTGGGCGAACGCGTGGTTGCATTCGTGCACTTTGAGCTGTGCATCCATCACCGCGATCGGCGCACTGATATTGAAGAAGATCTCTCGAAAGCGCGCCTCGCTTTCACGCAGGGCGTATTCGGTGTCGCGCACACGCAGCAAGGTGCGCAGGGTCGCCAGCAAGACGTCAGGGTCGACCGGATGGATCAGATAGGCGTCGGCACCGGCGTTAAGGCCGGTGATGATGTCACCGGTCTCGATCGACGCGGCCGACACGTGCACCACCGGCAGCAACGCCGTGGCCGGATCGCTGCGCAAACGCCGCACGATATCGAAGCCGCTCATGTCCGGCAGGTTGACGTCGAGGATCAGTGCATCAATCTTTTCCTTCGCGATCAGGTCCAGTCCGTCCTGGCCCGTGCCGGCTTCGAGCACCGCGTAATCATGGCGCTCCAGGCGCCGACGCAGGGCGTAGCGCGTGGCGGCGTTGTCGTCCACGATCAAGAGTTGAATGTCACGTTTCATCGACGTTCTCGCTGGCGATGGACAGAGGAATGATCACAAAGAACAGCGAGCCCACGCCAGGTGTGCTTTCTACGCCCACGCGACCGCCCAGCAGCTCGGCGAAACGCTTGCACAGGGACAGGCCTAGGCCGGTGCCGCGCAGGCGTTTTTGCAACGGGGAATCGATCTGGGAAAAGTCTTCGAACAGGTTGTTATGCAGCTCGCCCGGTATGCCCAGGCCGGTGTCCTGTACGGCAAAGCGGATTTCGTGGTCACTCTCCATGCGCGCCGACACGCGCACTTCGCCCTGCACCGTGAACTTCAAGGCATTGGAGATAAAGTTGCGCAGGATCTGCGCCAGCTTCTTGTCATCGGTATAGAGTTTGGGCAGGCCGGAAGGCTCTTCGAAGATCAGGTCGACGGACGACGCATCCACAATCGGCCGGAACATCCCGCGCAGTGCCGAGAACAGGTCGAACATATCGAACCAGGCCGGGGAGATAGTGATACGCCCGGCTTCGATCTTCGCCAAGTCCAGCAGGTCGTCGACCATCTCGCGCAGTTCGCGGGCCGAGCTGCGGATGAAACCGACCTGGGTGTGCTGTTCCGGGCTCAGCGGGCCATCCAGCTCATCGGCCAGCAGGCTGGTGATGCTCAGGATCGAGCCCAGCGGCGTGCGGAACTCATGGCTCATATAGGACAGGAAGCGGCTTTTCAGGTCCGACGCCTGGCGCAGCTGATCGGCCTGCATATCCAACTCGGCGTACAGCGCCAACACGCCCTGGTTGGTTTCGTCCAATTCGGCGCGCAGGTTATCCGCTTCCTGGCGAAGGTGTTGGATTTCAGCG